ACACAAAATACCTACTGGTTGTTCACGAACCAAGAAATCTTCGAGATCGCAGTCGAGGACGAGGACAGAGATATCTGGAAGGTGTTTCTGCAGAAACAGATGTTTGATGAAGCCCTCCATTATGCACGCTCCAACGCACAAAAGGATGCCGTTTCCACTGCTTCAGGCGACTTTCTTGCCAGCAAAGGACGTTATCAGGAGGCAGCCAAAGTCTGGGGTAAGAGTAGCAAGGGGTTCGAGGAGGTTTGTTTGACTCTGATTAATGGCGGGGAGCACGACGCTTTGCGGAAATACCTTCTTGGCCAATTATCAACCTACAAAAAATCATCGTCAATGCAGCGGATAATGGTTGCAGGCTGGTTGGTAGAGGTTTTCATGACCAAATTGAACTCCTTGGACGACAACATAGCCACCAGCGCGGAAGTGGCGGAGGGAACAAGCACCGAAGATATCAAAGGCCAACTCTGTAGTGTCCGTTCTGAGTTCCAGGAGTTCGTCACTAAGTATAAGGCGGACCTCGATAAGAAGACGGTGTACGGCATAATCAGTAGTCACGGTCGGGAAGAGGAACTGCTATATTTCGCCACGGCCGTCAGCGATCACAACTATGTGCTTTCCTACTGGATCCAACGCGAGAAATGGCCAGAAGCTTTGAATGTTCTCCAGAGACAAAGTGACCCTGACGTGTTCTACAAATACAGCAGTGTGCTTATGACCCATGCAGCTACTGGTTTGGTCGATATCTTGATGCGGCAGACGAACCTTGAACCCGAGAAACTGATACCTGCTCTGTTGAACTACAATAAAATGTCAAATGTTCCGCTTAACCAGAACCAAGCTGTCCGGTACCTCAATTTTATCATTGTCAACCACCCGAAACCATCACCTGCAGTGCATAACACACTCATTTCAATACATGCTTCGAGTCTCTCCTCCTCGGAAGCAGGGCTCTTAACCTATCTTCAGTCACAAGCTTCATCTCCACCCCCGTATGATGCCGATTTTGCCCTTCGTCTTTGTATCCAGCACCAGCGCTTTCAGTCATGCATCCATATCTACAGCGCTATGGGACAGTATCTCCAAGCAGTAGAGCTGGCTCTGCAGCATGAAGATATTGAGCTAGCAGCTATCATTGCTGACAGACCGGAAGGGAACGATAAGCTTCGGAAGAAATTATGGCTTCTCGTGGCCGAGAAGAAGATCCAACAACCTGGAACCGGCATTAAGGACGCTATTGAGTTCCTTCGTCGATGCGAACTCCTCCGCATCGAAGACTTGATTCCGTTCTTTCCAGACTTCGTTGTCATCGATGATTTCAAAGATGAGATATGCAATGCTCTGGAAGATTACTCTCGTCATATTGACGCCCTGCGTCAGGAAATGGATAACTCAGCACATACAGCGCGACAGATCCGATCCGAAATTGCGGCTCTGGATATGCGCTACGCTATCGTCGAACCCGGAGAAAAGTGTTGGCTTTGTTCACTACCAGTTCTGAGTCGCCAATTCTTCGTTTTCCCATGCCAACACGCCTTCCATAGCGACTGTTTGGGAAAGGAAGTACTCGAGGGAGCCGGTGGCAAAAAGAAGTATATACGGGATCTGCAAGCGCAGCTAAACAAAAGCGACATAAGTTCATCTCGACGGGAGGAGATTGTCAAAGAACTAGATGGGTTGATAGCAGAAGCTTGGTAAATTACCTCCCTCTTTCCTACCAAACAAGAAGAGCATTGTGCAGCTGACTCATAGATAGTATCCTCTGCGGAGACCATGCGCTCAAACATATCGATAAACCATTCATAGCGGCCTCTGACGCGGCAGACGACTGGGCATTGTGAGAGCAAGGATTACATGCCACTCCCACTTCGCTTGTGCCGCTATCGTTTTATTAATGACTTTAATCCTGGAGCGTTTCTCTTTCCGATCTGACGAGAGTCGTTCCAACGACTTCCGTATGAAAGGATACGATATGTTTATACCATTTGCCTTACAAGTTGTTAGAATATATCCCACCCCAATCCAGACGTTCTCATATACGTACGTAACCTAGACATTGACATTGAACATTACCCAATATTCTATATGAGTAAAAGAAAAGCAGACGATAGTTTACATAGAAACCAAATAACCACCCAAACCTATCATATCCAAGACAGTAAACCATCAACAAAATTCGAACGAAAAAGAAAAAAGGGGGGAATGGTAGTAATCATAAAAGCCTCAAAAGTTCCAAATCCTTGGCAACGGCAGGACTAAAAGGCGCACAGTCTTCCAAGAACTGCAGCATTTCCTGGCTCCAGCGCTCCCAGTCCGGGGGGAGCGTACTCCGCAGCCGGGCGTCAGGGGAGTGGGAGATACAATAGAAAAGGAGGACCTGGCCGAAGAATCTACATCGAATCAGTTTGGATAGTTCACCATGATGAACCTGGACGTTGCTCGAGAAGAGCTAGGGCAGGGAAATGGAGGCATACTGAGAACAAAAGGCAAATTTGATCGGAATACAACTTTTCATGTTTTGAAAGATGCCGCCGACGACGGGCCAGTTCATGGCGTTTTGGAGGCCGCTGCGAACTTGTTCGAGGTCGTCTTCTGAGAGGGAGGCGGGGATACGAAGGGCTTTGTAGAGGTATGGACGACCGATGTGGAATTTGGCGATCTTGAAGCGGCCGCGGAGCATTGCTTCTGAGACGGCGGTTGCTGGGGAGAGGGGACGGTTAGGGTCTAGAGGGAGGGGGGAGATGGGTGTTGACGGAGATGTAATGGGGGTTGTGGTGGTTGCGTTGTTGGCGTTCGCTGGGGTGGTTGTGTGGGTATCTTGGAATTGGATGGCAGGTGGGAGGTTGAGACGCCATTGCTCGAGTTGGTGGTGGAGCTCTGCGTTGATAGCTGGAAGTGGGAAGGTCCCTGAGTCGGCTGTGTATGTGTTGTTTGCACTGTTAGTTTTGATATTGGATTCAGTGGGGGATGGAGTGATAGGTGGCTTACAGTAGAAGTACAATGAGTGGCGGATGCGAGTGAGGATGATGCGGTGGGCGACCTGCGCGAGGAAATGGTATTGGAAGAAGGAGTCGTCTAGCTCTTGCAAGGAGGATCGAGGCGGTACCAAGCCCACAGTTTCGAAGGTGATGAATTTTGGAATGGGCACAAATTCCTCGAGCCGGGCGAGGCCACTGGGAGGGAGATGCAGTTCTTGCACTAGGATGGTCTCGTTCATTAAGCAGTTCCAGTATACGCGGGATTTCATGTCACCCTCCCATTCATCGAAATTGACGTCGTGGCTAGAGATATTGGTTAGCAAAGCGCAGAGTGATAATAAAGCCGATGGACTCACTTGGTCAGCATTTGGAGACAGCACGTAGCAGCGCGGTGAATCATAGCCCACGCATCCATCGGACGGAGGATTTGGCTGTAATAGACACTATTTATCTGATTAGCCAATAACCTGGGATGGTAAAGAAAGGGGTCGCGTACGATGACAACATATAAAATTGACAACTCTGGAGGTCGTTATCGCACATCAAGAAACCAATGCGTCGACGTGCCTCATTGAAAAAACGTAGGCCCAACGGCTCCTCATGGATCACCGCCATCCAATCTGGCGGTTCAAAACGATTGCTCCGGGTACCGGGTAGTGGATAATTCCCTTCTTGATGAGCTTGAACAGCATGACAGCCCAACGCTAGAATATTTAGGACTAGGCAGCTTTCTATTGTGTAGCCGAATCCGCTCTCAATTGCTGCCCAGATCGTGAAGGCAAAGTAGAAATTCTTATCCATAATTGGTGTAAAAGGATTGAAGGTGGCAAAAAAAGCATCGGAAAGACCTTTAATCATTGCCAGCGGAAGTGCCTCTAACCAGTCATCACCAGCCTGTGGAGGATATGGACAAATGTACATGGGGAGCTGAGGTCTTTTGGCCTCCATGTCGATAACGTAGTTCTTCCCTAGTCTTTCATGGGCTTCAAGTAGTCTCTTGGGAAGGATATCCCGGGCCCCTGGCCAGAGAATCACCCCATGCTGACTGAAGGAGATTGAGATTAGTCCGTTTGAGTTTGTCGCTTTCTGATGTTCGTCAAATTCAAAATCGTCGTGTTCTATAGCGTCGGGAGTAAGGCCCTGTGCCAGGGGGTTCGTAACAGACGTTCGAACATTGATACCCTGACTGCTGCGGCCTGGGGTGCTCGTATCTAATGGGCTATCAATAGTTCGAGGAATGGGCCTCTGACGTGACTGTAAATCATTACAGATGGAAGACGGAAGAGTTTCTAGTTTGGTCTCCATTCTATGGAGAGTGCTCATGATCAAACTGAGCGAATGGTCTCGCCTGTGGCATGTTAGTGAAAAAGCAATTGGTAAAGAATACGTTATAGAAGTTACATACTTGGACGACTTGCGTTCATTGTAGACGCACTCTAGACCGAGGGACTTGCACAGACCACATTTTGGACGGGATTCGTCGCATCGGGTCTTTTTGAGCCTGCATGTTTCGCATGCCTATTGTACGGGTTAAAAGTTGGAACATAATGTCACAGCTAGAGATGTCAAGGAAGACCTACTACTGTGGCAATAAAATTCCGAGGCTTTTTGCCAGAGCCTGCCGACTGTGGCTGATCTTGCGTTGGTGAGAGCAGGTCATTGATAGGTAATAAACCATTATGACTGTTATCGATATGCTCCGGCGGCTGCGAGCCACCGGGAGAGAATGACTCTTGGTACGAGCGCTTGCTCATTGTGCATGATTGGGCAGGAGGAATAGCCTCAGCCGGGATTACCGCAGGAAACTTGGATGCCAGTTCATAATTTCAACGCCAGAGATGAATCTGATATCGCGATCTTTTCCTATGATTGACTGATTCATTGGATTTCTGCCGGAGTGGAGGCGCCGAACTCCGACGGGCCAATCACCGGAGGGTCATGTGATGTTATCAATGCTTATCGTTATTTTAAGTCAGATTTTATAAAAAGATTCATCTTTGGATACTACTATCTCTGTGGTAAAGCGTAAACATATCTCAATTACTCCTTCACTATACCCTTCTTCTTAGCTCCTTTCACAGAATCTCACTTCATACATAGTGCAGCCATCAATCCCACACAGGCCGCAGCGACGGCGGCCCAGAAAGCCCTTGTGACTGCAGAGTTGTAGATATCAATTACCCGTTCGTTCTCTGATGCAGGTACATTCTTCAGAAAACCCGTCGCTCCCTGCTCTATGACATCGTCAACGTCTAGACTGGGGACACTAGATAAACCCTCTCGAAGGAGGTTTGTGAAAATATTTTGCGACACAGAAATGGAAATTGCGGCACCAATGCTAATAGAGAAGCCAACCGCCGCCATACCAACGGGGATATCCTTCGCGTCAAGCGCCGTCTGAGTCGCCGACCAGGGTTGGGGGAACGCTAGGCCGATGCCGATACTAAGCATGACCTGCCAGCCAATCCAGGCAGAATATATGGTTCTTGGTGTGAAGCTTGTTAGGAACCCGAATCCAATAGCCATCATTGTTGACCCAAGTAGCATGAGAGGTGTATAATAGCCTATGGCAGAGACGATGAAACCCGAGCTGATTGCGGCAATGGAAAGACTAAAAATAGACGGAAGGAGCATTTGTCCAGACTCAGCTGCTGTGGCACCTTGATCGCTTGAAACCAGATGGGCAGCTTTAAGGTGTATGTTAGCCATGGCTAGTTCACCATCGCGAATGGCATACGGTCAGGCGACTTACAAAGTAATCTACAACGTTAAAGGCCGCTGATGCACAGAAGGCGTAAACTAAGCATAGTCCGGTGGTTCTGTTGAGTACCACAGATCTAGGAATTGTAGCGGCATCTTTCTGCAACACCTCGAAAGCAATGAAACCTCCAAACGATACTGCGGCGACCACCAGGGGAGGAATGACCCTACCGCTGCTCCAACTGTACGTAATGCCACCCCATTGGACCAGCGAAGCGGAACTGCATGAGAAATTGCGCTGGCATACGGCTAATCAGTAAATCAGAAACATGTTTGGCTAGATCAAAAGGAGTAGAACTGACATTAAAACCCCGTTAAGAATCCCAGAAGAGCCACAGCCAGCGATGGCCCTTCCGACAATGAATGCAGCTGAACTCGGTGCTGAGACAGACACAATGGACCCGATTTCAAGGATGGCCACCGCCATAACAAGAACCCATTTCACCCGGAGTTTCTCGTGTAGCTTTCGAAAAAGAAACTGCGTTGAACATGTTGTAAGCCGGTCTATGGTTCTCATCAGCTAATGAACAAGAGCCGACTATATAGAACCCCAAATTACTACTCTATATCACCTACATGCTGAGCCATACCATCCAATATTGGTCAATGAATGGAATTCATTGGTCAAGGTGGGAGTTGCTGTACCCACGATGGTATTGTCCTGTAGCCCTGCGGGTCAACTGATGTGTTGCAGACGGCAACGCTAATACTTGCAAGCCCTAATATGAAAATCCCAAGTCCCATCGCCAAAAACACGGGCAGCTGCTGCCACGGCCGGAAATTCATTGGTTCATTGCTATCCTCTAATGCTTCCTCGGTTGCAATTGTCTTGATATCAGGGTCTGTCGCTTTGGATAGCCTTTTCGGCATTCTCCGCCATACTATACAGATAACTGGTATTGTCCGTCTCAGCGGCTGCTGTCAACAAGTCTAATCTTACCGAGACAATTCCGCGGTCAACAGAATAAGACTGCGTAGAATCGCAACAGAATGAATTGTGGACTTAGCAGAATGTTGTGAGACAAAGGGTGGGTGCCCTTGGATACCCCAAAGGACTACTCATCAGTACATCCCTGCAGCACACCATATTCTATCTAGGCCACTGCAGAGCACCTATTGGTGCTATCCTCGTCCGAAATAATATAAAAGCGAAGATCGGCAAACCAAGCGGCCCGGACCACAACTAATAGACAAAGACTCCCTAACATCATTGCATCTACTATTGGCTATCACCCCTGTAAGCTGTCCCACTGAGTGTCGCCGACTTAACCGGCCTTAGCTCCAGCCTATCTCCAATTCAGAAAGTATCTTTCGGTTTGTAGATAGTAACTCGTCACCCTAGGGAGTAGGTCTTATAGTACACCATCACCTTCAATGCCAGCGACCGTGCTTGGGGTGCAGACAGGTGTGTGTGAATGTAGGCAAGGAGGAGCGGCCCCTAGAGATCATGTTGCAAGATGAAAAACACGCCATATAAAGTTGAGTTTAATAGTTACATATACTTAATCAGATCAGGATATTACTATACTAGAGTACTCTAGGTATCATGATATGTTTTAGATATTTCCCCCTCTTTCTGCCAGGAACTCATAGTACCGCGGTGCACACCGTCTCCTCCACTTCTTTCCCCAAATATACACTGCCATGCCCGCCACCAACGACAGCACCACGCAGATACCATAGAACAAGAACAAATACCCCATCCCCACAGCATTCAGAAACGGCTGCGTCGTCTCCGAGATGGTAAAATTGATGAAGGAACTACTGATAGCAAGAATGACAACAATTTCTCCCCCCACACCAGGGAAGCACTCCATTGCGTACGCCGTTGCCTGTCATCACGGTTAGTAGGTATAACAAAGCCAATAAGATCCCATGAGAACTTACAGTAGAGGTTGCAGCCACTTGTTGCGCAATCATGCTTCCAATGCCCACTGCAACTGTAACCCAGTGTGAGCCTGTCTCAGCTCCCCAGCCATATATCTCATACCCCAGTCCGGCATAGAAGAAGCATGGGACTAGCGCCCACAGACGCATTTCGGGCTCTTTGATACCATCATTTCGTCGGGCGAGGTATATTACAATCTTGTCGCCCAGGACACTGGTAAAGTAACCGATGACACTACCAACTAGGGCGGAGATGTACACGAGACCCGTCTGTCCATCGGTGAAATTGTATGGAGGAGCTGATAGTGTTTCCGAGATGGTGTTGTTGGTGACGATGCCCGAGGTACAGCCAAACGCAAATATAACGCCGGCCTGGGATGAATTCTTAGCAGCCATATCCAAGGGTTGCATAGGTGAATCAAGAACATACGATGACGATGTTAGGGAATCCTAACAAGAAGAATGGCCGTTTGAAGTACGTCCAATATGATGTGTGATCTTGCGGATAGTAAATCCACAGCCTGAGTTTCTCCCGATACGTCCGCCTGGGGAACTGAGAAGGTTCTGGTGTATACATAGCTGCACCTTCTTCAAAACTGGCATTATCCGCGATGACTGGTCCCTTTCCCTCCGTAGTTGCTGCATCATCCTCTGGGGCAGCATCTGACTGGCCTAGTGTTGTGGCCTTGTTCGTAGGAAGTGTGTGAGAGGAGGTGAAGAGGAACCGGGGAAACAGCGTTTCCTCGAAGGTGAAGAAGAAGGCGACGATTAAAATGCCCTCAGCAATGGACACAACCCATTGCGCCCAGCGCCAGCCCGGTCCATCAGAGATATAGCCACCAGCCACCAGGCCAATAATTGAACCTAGTTGCTGAGCAAAAATGTAAACTCCTAAAATACGACCGCGCTGATGGTCGAAGAACAAATCAAATACAACAAGCTGAATGACTGCTTCGTAGGCCGAGGTCCCAAGTCCGTTGAGAATGTTGCTACCGAACCATTCCCCTGCGGTATGGAAGGCACCCATCCAGAGTGATGAGCCAATGCAGAGCAACAATGTCGCGAGGAAGCAAAATCGCCGACCAATCTTCATGGCGGCGGGGATCCAGAAAATGTTTACCAGGCCTAATAATAGATAGTTGAGGGCACCCCCGCCGTTCATGATCGTCATCGTTGATCCAGTCATTTCTACAATGGTTGTGTAGGCGTCACCTGTGTTATTCTCACCAAACGAGAAAACGCAAGCATAGATCGAGATAAGAAGAAGATGCCAGTATTTCTTCCACCTCGACCAGTTCAGTGGGTCACCCTCGCAGGCTGTGGGACGCGGCAACAAGATGATGTCCGAGCCATCGTGAGCGACATCCAAATTATGCTGGGTGTCAACTAGTAGCTCGGTGCCGGGCACGTCGAGGTCGAGGTCTTGGGTAAACAGCATCGTGAAAAACCACAAAGTGGAGAATTTGAGTGCTGCGACTTGGTGACTGCATTATCATCGAGAGCGTTGGATCTTTATACTTAGGCTGGTCGGTACAAGCTTCATCAAGGTAATACCAAAACACCTGGTTATCTCCCATCCGTTATCTGCCTATTATCCACAGTCTGATAACAGTAATAAATGGAGCGCATTGAGCAGAGGTTCTACCCCAGGTTCGAGCATATTGCTAGTTTGCTATGGTGTGGGGGGTGTGAGGAATGTCGAGGAGGGAGACCAATTGGAATAGATACCATATGAAATCGCCTCCTCGATCTTCTGAGTCTGGGCAGGTCCAAGCGATAGATCGCTTATCGCCATGGGCTCCGGGTGTACTGGCGTTGACCGGAAGATCCCGTTGAAATGACACGATGTGGACCTTAGTACTGGATTGTTGTTCACACTAAAAACCACCCCATCATCGATCAGGGAAAGGAGGCAGATACGTGATTTGTTGCTTAATGTGCTAAGCATTAGCGAACCTGGGACAAGAATTCTTCGCGTCGACCTTCCATGACCTGTGCTTTATCTCCATATCTGCCAATGCTTGATAGCCATGTCTTAGGTTGCCTGAAATTGCTAACATCAATGACATTGAAACTTGGGAAATCATCCTATGTCTCTGGGAGGGCCACGAACCAAGAGTATATAGACCTGCATTTATCATTGTTTAGGGTAAAGCTCAAGCCCTAAGTTACTACTAAGTCCCCGACACAATTACTAATCTATACATAACATCTGGCTCCTTCGCGAAGGTGGTGTGCGATCATAACTGGTTGATAATTTATAATACAATGTACAATCCCCAATGTTTCCATACAGATACATTTATCAGAAATCACAATATAGTTGAAGAAATGTTAGTATCGAAACCTGTTCACTCCTTTGAGAACTTATCATTATGCACGTGGTGTTTTCTGTGACAGGAAGGCGGTGAATGAAGGAACTGTCCCGAATATCTGCGTTTCATGGACGCCACTCAAGAGCAACATTGCCCCAGCCGATATATGAAGTCAAACTAAGTAGGTAGTAGATTGTCTTACCAAAAGAAGGGCCTAGCACTGGAATATAATGTCGCATGGGAATCGCCCTGGCGAGTGGGAGGATGTCAACTCGCACACGGTGAGTGACATAGTAAGAGATGACGGTCAGTCTAGATCCGCCTACAGAAGACAAGAGTCGTTAACTCACTGTTTTCTATAGTGGATTTGGCCTTGGATCCAAGCTTGTTTGACTTCTCTTTCCCTTTGATACCGCCGCCATCTGAGCTGTGTCCTGTCAACTTACTGGAGACCGATCAACAACTTGGTCAACAGTTAGCACCACAGCCCGCTTTTCTAGATCATGGTCTGGACAGAGAAAATCAACTACTGTCATCTGGGGGTGACTTTATTGACAGTAGTGCGTGGTTGTCTACTGACTCAGACCTCCAACGACTACACAGTCTCCTTCCTGAGGTCTCGAGCACCATAGCTAACGGCTCTTCGGGTACTGAACCAGGCGTTAATGCTCAGGAATCTGAGCCTGCTAAGCCAGGTTTCAGCCAAGGCATATCTGAACAAACCAATATACCCTCTAGCGCTCGTACTGGCCTCCCCCGGCGCAGGAGCCGCTATTTGATCCGACAGGAGCATCAACAGAGCAGTCCAATTTTTATCCCCAATGCAAATGCAATGGATCCCATGGAGAGGTGGCGTGAATCTCCACCAGAGGATGAGCCGGCGTCTATATCAGCCATTCTGGACGCGTTGAAAAAAGCACCAACCCAGCGGTCGACTCAGAGGAGCAGCCGCCCGGATACACGCAACACAGGGCACAATGCATTCCGCCATTATAGGCGAGCTCCGTCCGCAACAAGCGGTGAATCTAGTGGTTCATCAAATGCTTCTTTCGGCTCCGCTCTATCACACTCTCCGTTAGATGATCCTTTAAGTCGTATCCCTAAAGGCCGGGCTAGCAAAAATACCGTACGGGCACGGGGGAAAAATGATAAGCCTCGGCGATTTTGGTGTACGTTCTGTTGTGATAAGTTCAGGAGCAGATATGACTGGGCTCGGCATGAGAAGTCTCTCCATCTGAACCTAGAGGCCTGGCATTGCGCTCCCCATGGGACCACCGTCTTCTCAAGAATGACAGGAAGAAAACACTGTGCGTTTTGTAACGCACTAGATCCTAGTGCAGCACACCTTGATCAACATAACCATAACGTATGTCACGGTGACTCCGATAAGCGACGCTCATTTCGTCGTAAGGATCATCTGGTGCAACATCTGCGCCTCGTGCATAATGTCGACACTTTGCCCCTCATTGACGATTGGAAGATCTCACATTCTGCTGTCCCGTCACGTTGCGGGTTCTGTGATCACAATATGGATACTTGGGAACAACGAGTTGACCACTTGGCTGAACATTTCCGGAAAAATGCTACGATGAAAGATTGGAAAGGCGATCACGGATTTCCACCCTCCGTTGCTGCGCAGGTTACGAACTCTTTACCCCCTTATCTGATAGCCGAGGAGTCTCAGAGTCTGATTCCATTTTCTGCGACCAACACACACGTCCAGGATCATTTTGCGCAGATCTCATCGCGCGCCCATTATCTCACTGAAGAGCAGAAAGCGAACCCGGACAAAGTTGCCGAAGATGCCAAAGCAGAGGCTGTGGCTAAGCAGAACATTTCCATGTCGGAGCTTAGTTCCTTTACCCAGGTTCTTACACTGCATTTAAGCCGCTATGCTCAAGACAAAATAAAGCAGGGTGTTATGCCTACAGATGATATGTTTCAACAGGAAGCAAGACGAGTTCTTTACGACTCCGAGGACTCGTGGAATCAGACTATCGCTGATAACCCGGAATGGCTTTCTGGGTTTCGACATCTACACTGTGCGGAAGGAAACAATATCGAGCCCAGATCTGGAGAGGTAGATCACTACCTGGGCGACACTCCTCAGACTGGCATTGGGCGGATGAATTAATCTCCTCACCTTTCACTGAAGTACTGTACGATGTTAACTTCAAACTATTTATCTGCTGTTGTAGTCCTCCTCCATCCTTCCCCTTCTTCCCCTTCTGCTGTATCCGCCACACCCTCTAGAGTGGGTCACTACAGGCATGCCCTTCATCTATCACGTCTGTCCATATATCCAGCTCGTTGCCGTACATGATATCGGTCGCCCACTGCTGAAGCATAAAGACATATTAACATTTAGTCGATTCGATGGTCAGCACCCACCCTGCATTTTAGGGCCTTCCCCAGCTCGGTGCCCATCCACTGAGGAGGAATGGCAGAGAGCCTCTCGCGTGCTAAGTCGAGCACGGACAACTGCAAGCACAAGAGATCCATGGGGTATGATCTCCGGTGCGTCTCATCCTGTTACTGCAGACCGGACCATTTGATCCATAAATATCTTGTGGGTGGCTTATCCTGGGGTACCATCTGTAGAGGCTGACTCGGTGCATCGGTTTGAGTGACTTGGAGCTTAGAAACGTCAAAGTTCGTTGAGGCTAGACGGGCGAAAAAGGCTGTCCATTAGTCAACTGGTGAACTAGCAGAGGTAAAACCTCATCGAAAGACCTCCCAGTGGGCAAAGACGATCATGGCATGTAGTATTCATGAACCTATGACACGAAAAGAAATTAAAAGTACGTAGGCCTAACAACCCATCTCAATGGAAACAACTGCGACTTATACTAGTGACGCCTTCGAGAGGGTCAAATCGCTGCCCATGATCGCCTCAGCTACTATTGGGTGATGAAAACCATTCATCCTCTGGTGGTAGAACATATTGCGAGCGTCAACCGAGACTGGGAAGGCACAGCAGATATTGGAACGGGCGTTTAGGGCAAAGCGTAAGGTGTAAGGCGGCGGTTGAAATTTTACACCAACTCAGACGTGATTGGCAAAGCCACCACTTCGCCTCTATCATGGAACTGCTGAGAATTAGTAGTAGATCGCTTCGAGTCTAACATAAATTCTCTCCTACGCGCAGAGATGAATGCCGAAGTTGTTATGCCGAGAGGCGTAGGGCGTAGGGCGCGGCCGGCACATTCTGCATCGGGTAACCGACCCGAATCGAAGTGTTTAAAGACAATCCTATACACCCTATGCACGCCCTATCGGGCTCCATGATTGTATATATAACCTATAACATCTCAATTGAGATTTTGCTAGCCTGCTGAACAGAATGTCTGGAATATCGAATCCGTTATCATCCCACCCTCAATGCGATTGCTCTGTGTCAAGTACGGGCTCTTGACATCGCCTCTATCCCGACCAATTTCAAAGATCAACCATTTAATGACACGATCCTTCTCTATGCCTCGTTCAGAGTCATCATCCAGGATTCATGTCCTCGGACTTGGAAGTATCGGCACCTTTACCGCCCATGGCCTGTCCGAAATCCCCAGCAGACCCTCCGTCACACTCCTTCTCCACCGCGAGTCGCTCCTAAGCGGATATCAGGAGAACGGAAACCAAATGCTACTTACAACACGAGAAGGGTCCCAAATAGGGTACAGCTGCTATGACCTGGAGGTATACCGAAAAAATGGATGGTATCCCGAGCCTTCATCACCCTCCTCGGGAGCCATGAACCGCAGCATCTCCCACCTCATCATCAGCGTCAAAGCAACACAAACCGTTTCAGCACTACAACCCCTGAAGCACCGTCTAGACGCCCAATCTACCATCCTATTCCTCCAAAATGGCAGCGGCATGATCGACGAAGTCAACGAATCATTGTTCCCTAACCCCAAAACACGACCCAGCTACATAATAGGAGTCATCTCTCACGGCGTAACGCTCAATCGACCATTCGACGTCACGCACACCGGCTTCGCGGCGATGTCTTTGGGATTAGTTCCCCGCTCAGAAGAAGCACCCCATCCCCAGGAGTTTTCAAGTTCATACCTCCTCGATCATCTCCCCCTATCGCCCCGGCTAAACGCAACGTCCTACCCCTACACGGAAGTCCTGCAGATTCAGCTTGAGAAACTAGCCGTCAACGCCTTCTGTAACCCTCTTTGCGCCTTGAATGATGCGAAGAATGGTTTTCTTTTTACTATCCCCGACACGCGGAGGGAGATTCTCACGGAGATCTCGAATGTCGTGCTTGCGTTGCCAGAATTGAGGGATGTTCCGGGTGTAGAGGAGCGGTTTGCTGTGGATAGGTTGGAGGCGACAGTGAATGCGATTCTGACTAAAACTGCTGACACGACGTGTTCGATGGTGTGGGATTTGAGGGCTGGACGCGAAACGGAGGTGAGGTTCATTAATGGGTATTGGGTGAAGAGGGGGAGGGAGGTTGGGGTGAGGACGCCGGTGAATGAGTACTTAGTGGAGGAGGTGACGAACAGGAGTCGTAGATAATTGAAATCAGCTTGGTTACTGGAAAGCGTTCTTTCCTGTAAATGGATTCCTGAGCTATATTATCCGTGCTACAGAGTCCAGCAGGACTGAGCGGTTCGGGGCAGATGTACCATTATCTATTACTCAGTTTCCTTTGGACTTTTCGGTGAGCAGATATCAGTCCGGCCCCCGGGTCCATTTCCTAGGTTTGAATTACAGGACTATGGGAAAAGAATTTACTTGACGGCTTCGCAGCAACAAAATGCGTCAGTGGTTGTTGCAAAGCTGAGGTATACCCGAGGACTCAATAGCTTCGACCACAATTGATGAGAACCATGATACGCTTTGGTAGTTTGGTTATTGAAAGTCTACTCTACGCCTATCATTTCCTTTCTTTCTCCATTCCTTTCCATCCTTGCGAGCGAGAGTTAACAGTAGCAGTGACTCTCTTCCAGATGTGCGGATGTACAAGTAAACCCTGCCACAAAGAGATATATAGCTTCAAGGATACCATGGATAACTTACAAACCATTCCAGACATCATCCTTGATACTGGTCGAATCTGTGTTACATACATTATATCTACAAGAAATCGATGTTTATTTTTTTTACACTCCTAAGAGAAAAGCCCTACTACCGGTCGAGTGGACTATGCGAGCTGCCGACGCAGACTCTCGGACAATAACTATCATAACTACTATACGTAACAAGGACTAGTCACTTTCCATGACGGAGCTTTCTCTCAGAAGGACACGTAGCTGCGCACATCTATCAATCGGCGTGATACTATGACCAAGCCGACCGATGATTCTGCATCAAAAAGTCCATGTTGGATCCAACATTTTACCCGTAGTACCAGACTAGTCCTATAGAAATCGAGTGGGTATCTGCTGACGATACATACGTACTTCCTTCTACATTCTACAATCCACAACATACAAAACCGAATAAAAATAGAAAAGACAGCGATAAAAATTCCAAACCCTCAATAAACAGGGCGCTTAACAGTACCTTCTATCAGGATTTCTCAAAGGGATGCGCTAAAAAGTTCTAGCTGGGGATCAGGTCTCCACCTGATATGCAGCGTCAGCAACACAAGCAAACACCATATCCAGTGGGATCCATGAAAAAAAAAAAAAAGAAAAACACACACACACACACACACACACATCTAGCGGCAAAAGGTTGCTTTAGCTCTAGGTCTGCATGTCGCTGAAAACAGGCGATTCGGGGGATATTCCTTGGTGTGTACATTACATTCTGGCGATGTGGGCGTGTACAGTGTGCATACGGTGTTCCAGGCACTAATGCACAGCCCACTAGAGATTTCAAGACATGGAAAGGGAAAGCAAAGGCTAACGACAGTAGGATGCAAAACGGTTGAAGACAGACAGTAGGTAGGCGCAGGGTAGTGGGGCATTGGAGGTCCCATCTATGATGGTATCAAGTGAATCCATGCAGGGGGTGGTTGGGCGTATCGCTGAGATTCAAGATCGGTGCAGTTGGAGTCGAGTCAAAACGCGACGGATCCCCTCACACCCCCTTGTGTCTTGTGTCTGGGCTTTGAGCATGTTTCATAATGGTGATCTAATTGCTTTTTTTGTTTCTGGAAGATGGGGACCAGACAAGTGGTCTCGTGACCATGGTTGAGGGATTTCTTTCGGCGATAGAAAGAGAGAGAGAAAGAGGGCTGTCGATAAACTCAATCTCCCCGAGAAATATATAATCTAAACCACTAGTAGACTATTATCGATAGCTGGAGGTGGCGAACTCCTCTTTGAATAATTCTACGATCTTCCCCCTCAAACCTCGGTGCACACAATACAGGATACATGCAGAGGTGGCCGGCAAGGGGGTAGAGACCACTTACATATGATATGCGCGGTAGATGATCTGTACCGATGTGCCGTGTAGACGCACATCTTCTGTGGGGATCTTTTGCAAGCGCCACAGACAGATGAGCGGTTTGTTTGGTTCTTGTTGCATGAACCTTTGGTTTTTTTTTTTTTCTCTCTCTCTCTCTCTCTCTCATGAGGGGTAAGATAGATTCGTCATTCTCGTAGCTGTTGATGTAAAAGAGTCGCCAGGGTGGAACAGATTTCCGATTAGGGATTTGTTTAGGGGGGGGAGTGTCTCCTTATCCACTCAGGCGTACGGGAGGTCGACATGGCGAACACTCCCTCTCGTACCGGGGTCCCTTAGTGACTAGTGGTACTAGTCCCACCCCACGTATAGGGAAAGACAAAGACCATGCGATTGAGGGATCACAGACCAAATAATCAGACCACAAATTGACTTCCTCATGGAAGTTGGTCATGTGCCCCAGGAAATCTGGGGAACTCAAAAGTGGATCTCCGTTACCGCAGCCACGTACGGTATCGGTAAACTCGGTAAACTCAGTAATCTTACCCAGAGAGCCGATGCGCCTGCCGGGGAATGGAAGCAAGTACGGAGTAACTGGAATGGAATTATTGAAGTCTCGAGGGCAAAGCAACCACCAGGAGATTTCCAGACACGACTTTGTCTGTCGGAGGAATTGTGAACACAACCAAGCCTCCGGGAAGATCGTGCGGGGTAAATAAAGTAGTGATACTTCTTCGACTCAAAGAGGCAACGAGTGTCGTGGATGGACCAACATTAGTCGGTTGATCCCTGAATGTATATCTGATGTATGTACTTTGTTGATGTTGCCCGCTTGGCAATGGCTGGTCATCTCCTTGGTTGGTGGGTTCTCTATCATTCCCCCCCCCCCCCTCCTCCTTTCAGATTAGATGATTGCTGGGGTTAATCAAACGAGATAGGGAACGTTATCCGTACGCCCCCCAATCTCTGATATCATCGATTGGGAAAGCGTGGCTTATCACTATTATCTACCGTCATAACCGGCGATAACAACCTCCTCCACTTCAAAACATGGAGAGAGTCCATCTCCAGTTATTAGAGTTGGAACTGATAGCAACCGATTAGGTTTCCTATCGCAACATTGGGGTCGGGCCCGATTATGCTATCACCATGGGAATCGTCGTTACACGAGTCTACGAGATTATGCCTCAATCTAATCAGCTCATTCATGCCAATCAGAGAGGGGGGGCGCTCCAACCATCGACCCAAGAATGAGTAATCATCCACATCTGCCACCAATTTATGATGATGAGGTGGCCAGATTACACAGTGAGCTCATTGTAGAACGATTCCTCAGCCGGGACAACCGAGACGGATGGAACGAACGGAAGATACTCCCCGGGGATCAGTCCAGCAACTCAACTCAATCGAAGATAAAAGAACACCTGTTATAAACCTTCCCGACAGAAGAGTCACGGGTCTGAGTCGGCGGAGGAATAGTAGTAGACGGTACTGGGTACTTAGTTTGGTTGACCAACAACAACGGGTCATCGGAAGGGATGTTGGGGACTTTCGAGGATCGATCGCGTGATCCTCACCGGGGCATGACCTGAGGCCAATCGAGTTCGTCCGGATGGGGTAGAACGATTATTCTTGAGGACCCGTGGATGATGCCAACCCAACCCTTTACCAATTCATAGTTGAAGTTCTTTTATGAAGTGCATACAGGCAGTTGAGACACGCAACCCCCTACTGCAAGGACAAACCTTACAGACACACTCGACGAGGCGGTCAAGCGGCTGCAGCGTCTTCTTCTCCCTCACCGCCAAACGTACATTTTCTGGCAGGCTGGCATGTTCCTTAGTAAGTAAGCATGCCATGCCAGCCACGGGAGTCGTTGGTCGAAACGTCAAATCTCCCTCGAGGCCGGGGCATTCGTGTCATTCGAGCTGTACTACATCATACGTTCATCTCCTCATCCCCCTTCCCCGCCTCCTGTCGTGATTGATTGACATTCAATCCTGAAACGTGATGGACACACACAGTCCACCCCCCACCACAAAACTGGGTCAAGAAGTTGTGCCAGTTGCCCAAGTCGGTACCTACTCAACTGGAGAAGGTATTCCGCATGGAGAAATGGGGAATTCAACGGTTGGGTCGCGACTCTTCCGCTGAGCAAAAACAGAGGAAGTATGTGTGTCTGTGGTTCATTCATCGGGTTTTCCCTGGGCCCAAGATCGGATGAACCATGAGCATGTCAAACCCTCTAAACTTCAGACGGAGAAGTGATCTGAAAAATTAGACCGAAAAGGAAAAAACAGAGTTTACAGTCATTGAATGATAAAAAAGAAAATTAAGAACAGACAATCAATCAAAATAAACTCGAAAGGAAGCACAGGTACATCCGTAGCGCAAATTATTCATCATCATCTGCACCACCATACTAAAAACATATATATATATACATAATAAAATAAAATAAATCTGCAACCATTTCATCTTCCCCATACACGCTATCCACAATGATCATCACTCAAGCTGCCCCCGGGATTTTGTTTCTTCTTTTTTAATTGTCAAGGGAGTGAATGCTGCCATTATTGGCCACCAGGCCACCAAATTGTGTTGGCGTCATGCAGCCTGGGAATAGTGCCAACTGGGCCACTGGTCATTGGCCCCGATCGGCATTAGCGGCAGTGGGAGGGTCCGAAATTGGAGTAGGAGCAGCGTTACCGCCACCGTTGCTCCGCCTTCGGGGCGAGGCAAAACCGAAAATGGAAGCAATGATGATGATGTATCATTCATCATCACCATGTGGAGCATCTCCTGTTACGCATTTCCAATCCCCTTCGCGACCGAGGACAGAGGAGGAAAGGAACCTCAATCCGATAGGATCGTGGATTTCTCATTACCCAAGGACTTCTATTTTTTTCTGTCTCTGGTCCCGGTGGGTAGTATTGCTATGAATGGTATCAGGAACTTGACCACTGCATAATGATGGAGGACCCTGGTCTGGACCTGCAGGAACTTGACCTTAGTCGGCACAGGACGGACCACGTCCCATGCTGCTTGGATGCCCAGGCGGCAGCCTGTAATCTGCGATAATCCTACTACGAGTCGCTCACTCATGTTATCTCCCGAATTGCTCCCCATCTGCCTGATTGATGCAATTAGGTAGCAGCTATAGCACACATGTCGTATTAACTTTGGACACGCTGGAACTTATGCCACGCTATGTCCCGTGCTAAGTCTTAAATTTTTCAATTAAGGGCTCATAAACTTCGACTAACGCATAAAAAGTCGCATGGTCTGTAGGTCGATATGTTATCAAAGGCTCATTTTGGGTTAGATAACATATTCGTGAACGATCACTCGGGCAATTGAAGAGTTCGTAGGAATGTCGGCCGGAGCTTCATCTAATGCAATTTCTAAATGCCAGCCATCATGACAGCGGACTGGACGGACAACAATGGAAACGGGAACGAATGCCTCGTAACAAAGGCAGCCAGGAATGGCGCTTCCATCATCAAGAATTAAGAATATTACTAATAACCAAGTTCCGTTTGAATTCTTCGTCATCTCTGACGCGATCGAATAACGAAACGAGGAAATTGGTAATCCAAGGTAAAATATGTTCTGAGCCATACAGACCAGATCATAACTTCTTTCTCTTCCAACAAACAGAGAAGGGAAGATATTCGATGACGATAAAGTGCTGAGTACGTATGAATAATACTACTAGTAGTAACGATGGGACATTTGGGGGGAATGCAGTGATATCCGTTCTGCCATGAGAGGTATGATTCATTCAGGGGGGTGTGGAGCCTATGCGCCGGAAACAGTCTAGCCGCGTCTTCTGCTCAACCTGCATCCATCGAAGGTTGGTGGGCCGACGAAGATCGCACGTATCGTTACCACGAGGTACTGAAGGGGCCTTTCTGACTGCTGGGCGGCTTTGGGGAAACTTGGCAAGTACGACAGGCATCGTACGGAGTACGTACGACCTTATTGTTGGGGCCCTTTGGACGTTCGGACGAGGTATTGATACGGTAACGAATGGTAGCCATTGGCTGATCGGACTCCACCGTGTAAGTCCGACTACTCGTAGTACCCAGTCAGCAAGAGCGCTCCGTCAGGTTCTCGCTCGTTCGCCCAGTTTCTGGCAGGGAGTGGATTGGCCTGCCCTCCACCCTCCTACTGAGAGTCAAAGGTTCCGACTGCCGGTCCCAGTCCCATTTGACTGACTGTTTCGCCCCCCCTCTCTCTGGTTATCATCCGGACCTCCTTATCCATCATCCCTATCGCTCCTGCTGTCAACTTGATCCGTTCTTCTCGACTCACCACCATCCACCTATACCTACCCAACACCATCTTCCTCTTTCCTTCTTTCTCTTTCTCTTCCTCTCTCTCCTATCACCCGCCTTTCCTCTCCTCCTTCTCGACTTCCGTCCGTCTCTCCTCTACACATTGCTCCTCCCTTCTCCATCGTCCCCAACACAGCTTCCGTCGCCACCCGTTATCGCCAATCTCCAAAGTGTCCTCGGACGTCCCTACTCGCCTCATCGCTGCAGCCAGAGAATATTAGGTTCAAGAGCTTAGAACTACTCCAGCGTCAGCTCCTAATCCAATCTACTGCCCAAGATCCTCTTCTCAGTCCAATCCGACTGGCTATTGTAGTGCCACTGTCCTGTGCCTGCCCTTCCGAACACCTCGGGTGACTCATCCTCAAAGCCAACGTGTAAGGTCAACTTCGGACCCACGAGTCTTCTCAATCTACCGACCGGAGTACTGCTACGTTTCATCTTACACACATTGAGACTACGTGTGAGGGCGTTGACTTGCAAGACTAAGACCGACGACTTCGTTGTCCCAGACTCCACCGTTCGCAACCTGAGCCGGTTGCTGGTATTCGGTTCTTCTATTTGCCCAACTAAGGGAAATCTGAAGACGCCTGGTACCAGTTGTCCTGAGCTTCAGCGCTACTATATATCAATCGTCTGCCAATCCAGGACTATTTTGTCGCTCAGTCAACCTATGAGTCTATAGCGTCATACCTCACTTCGACCCCTCCCTCCCCTGAGTCACGACCGCCCTTGTCCTTCCAACCTGGTGTTCGAAGGTTTTTAATAACGACAATTGTTTATACATCTGGCATTTACGATATCACGCAGCGTTTTTGATTTGCTCTTGCTCTTCTTTGCTTCCACCTTCCATCTTATTTGATTCGTTTTCCTCGTCCATCCGCCGGACGTCGTCTTTCTCTTCAACACACTCTCTTTATCGCCATACTTGACTCTCTCGGTTTTCGCCCGCATCACTGAAACGATATACAGATGAACCCATAACGGTCTCTACAAATTTCCTAGCGTTGTCAATTTCCTTTGGGTTTCTTTGACTTGCGCTCTGCGCTGACTCGTCGTCTATTTCCTTGTGTCTCATCCTCCCATATTTATATGATCTTCTAAACCGACACTCCATTGTTTGATTATCTTATACTCCCGTTCTCGTTTCCTCTTTTGATCTCTTCTCTTGGGTTTTCTCCGTTACGATTCGTTGGACCGGCATTGCAATTCTTGACATTGGGTTCGCATTGTCCTATCTCATTTTCGTTGCCCACCCGCTCGATTGAGATCCCGTTCCGTGACGCAGGTCTTTTCCGTCGACAGACCTGCCATTGAGTTTCCTTTTGGACCACCACCGCCTCTTCACAGTTTCGATCATCACTCGACCATGTCGTACCTCCCTAACAGCTTCGTTGAGGGGCAGCTCCTGGATGGGCGCTTCCGCACCGTTGCTCCCTTGAACCATGGCTCCTTTGGCATGGTCTTCCTCGCATATGATATGAAGACCGGCGAGGATGTTGCTATCAAATGCATGGTGAAGGGGGCGATGCCCGATGATCGTTTCGATGAGCTCTTTTGCCATCGTCGTCTCGGATATCATCCGAACATTGTCAACCTCATTCACTCGTTTGAGACGGAGACTCACATGTATCTCGTCTTGGAATACTGTGCGAACGGCGATCTCTACGAGGCAATCAGACTCAACCGTGGTCCCTTGGAAACCGAGCATGTACGGGATTTCATGCTGCAATTAGTGAGCGCTGTCGAGTTCATGCATGCCAAAGGCTTGTATCATCGTGACATCAAACCCGAGAATATCTTCTTGATGCAAGATGGTTGCATGAAACTGGGCGATTTAGGTTTGGCCACCGGCGAGGCCTGGTGCTATGAGGCCTGCGTGGGAAGCGATCGTTACATGGCACCCGAGCAATACGACCCGGCTACAACAGGTTACTCTCCTGCCAAGGCTGATATCTGGGCCGTTGGAATCTGCTTGCTCAATGTCCTCTTCGCTCGAAACCCCTTCGCAACGCCGACCGAGTCCGATATCTTGTTCGCCGACTATGTTCGGGATCGCCAATCTTTGTTCGATATCTTCCCGAACATGTCTCAGGATACGTTTGAGATCCTGCGAATCGCCCTGGCCATCGACCCTGACAAGCGCTCGCTCTCCGGCATCCGGGATGCGATCCTCCGGACTGTCACTTTTACCATTGATGACGAGGGTCTCGATGACTTCTGCACGGATGACCGTGAAATGGTGCCTGCCAGCGCCAATCGCGAGCCTCTTCGCACCCCTTCGATCCAGAGCCCCTTCGTCAACCAAGGCGACTCATTCCCTTGGGCCAAAGCTTTACAGTGCAGTCCGCCCCAGGATATCCGGAAGTTGTCTGCGATTCCCGACGACACCTACGAGGAGGATCTCTTCCCATCATCAGAGACAGCTGGTACTTCCTGGTTTTCCGTTCACCAGGGTACTCCGTCCATGGCTTCTGTGATGGAGTCGGCTATGGGTGACTCATATCGCTCGACAGCGTTCACAAAGATTGAGCCCCGCTACCCGCCCCTTTCCGACCCCGTCCCCATCACAGGCTCTTTACCCAGTCAACCACCTAAGCCGCTGCCTTCTCTTTCCATGGTATTTGGCAAGAAGAAGGAAGAACAAATCTCCAAGAGCTGGAGTGACTTGTGGGATGAGGATGAAGAGCTGGAAAGCGAAGAGACTGTGTTGCAGCAACGACGTGAGCAGAACTCTCGTAGCTGGAGCCATGACAGTAGTACTCCCGAGGTCGTTGGCCCTTCAGCCGTTCTTCAAGATGTGACTTCATCGATGCTCAATATTCAGTTACAGGACGAGGCCGTTCCCGCCGCCGAGGCCCGTGCCATTCCTGTGAAGCCAGTCCACGACGAGAATGTCACATCTAAGTCAGCACCGACTTCGCCGCAGAATTCATCGAAGAAGTCGAACCTGGACAAATGGGCCGCTTTGGGTGACCGCAGGCGGAATTACAAGCCGGCAGATGTGCCATTCAAACAGAAGAAGTTCCTGAACAACATGGCCTGGCGGAAAGACTGGGGTCTGGGCTCATCAGGGTTTGACTATGGATCCTGGGCCAAGAAGGAGCCCGCTTCGCCTGAACGTCGCCGTCGCCCATTCCTGGAGAAGGGGTGGCGTCGCGATGCCGTGGAGTCTTCCAAGCCGGCTAGCGGCTATGATGGAAGCATCGATGAAGACCTTGACCTCGTTGGTGGCTGGCACGACCTCCACTTATAAGCGTCAACAATGTCACTGCTTTTGTCTGCGCTGCGCGTCCTCACCTCGTGTTGGCCTATATAATCTAATCACATCACGACCAAGAAACTACCGACCACCTCACTTTTTTTGTTTGTTGTTTGCTCTTTGCTCTTTATCTTTCAAAACTCTTCATCAAACCGATTTTGCATTTCTCCACTCCGTCATGTTGCGCCGGGCCATGCGTCGACATGACTTTATTTCTCAAGCTTTTATAGACACTCTGTGTGTGACATGCAAGCGGCCCAATATGTTCTTTGTTTCTTTTCCCTTTTACTACTGTATAATATAACTACTGGTGGCGGCAAAAGTGACTCATCCACTGACAACCGGAAGGTTTTTGGGGAGGCTTTACGCTTGTTTCATTTCGATATTCCTTTTTTTTTTTTTTTTTTTATCAACTTTCAACCTGTTCGAATATTACATTCCTCAACAAAGTGGTTCAATGTGATGGTGGTAGGACGGCGGCGCAAAGGCAGAAGCAATATGACGGAAAGGGTGCTCTTCAACTACAAATCCGAGAAAGAAAGCCTACGAGAGACGGGATGTCGATCTTTCTACGCTCATTTCCCGGTCTTACCCAGGCGGATGATGTACTGGACTGGATTCTTTGTACTGTAGTTTAGCTGGGGATAGTGGAATGGGTGTGAAGTGGACGATTATCTACATCATGGTGGAAATACAAACCCAAAAGTGATTCTCGTGGACTTCTCCGTTTTTAGTATTCGTAAGAGTATGATTCCGTAATTGAATAGGAGTTTCCAGTGTATTCGGACTAAGTATCGACTAAGGTACTAGTATCGTAGCACCAGTATTTAATTCCCCTAACGATCGGCGGTGACGCGAGGCGGTCACGAGCGCTACAGACAGACCGCCCATGCGCAGATGTCAGTTTTCATGCTTCTCCCAACATCTCGCTCGGAAGGATTTTTATTCTGTATCGCTGTAGTTGACATTTTGCTTGTACAGGAATAACCTGCTTGGTATTATACATCCCTTGTGCAACTGCCAGTTGTCCTCTTGCCACTCCGTTCCGAACAAAGGATCTAAGATAATCTCGGGAGTTTTTGCCTTTCCTGCGCTTAGTTGACGATAGGAAATCGCCACAGCTGTTAAATAGCTCGGACAATGTATCCGCGACTCATTACCAGTATAGCCAAGTAACGCTGTGACTCACCTGTCGTACCATCGAAATCACAATCTAACTACAAGCGTGCGTGATGGTGGTCCCCGCGTGGGCAGCAGCGGCATGGACGTCCTTGACGACAGCGTTGATCCTCCCTGGAATCCCGGGCGCTGCAGCCGAGAATAAGCAAGCGATATGCCTCGCAAGGCACTGGAGCGAGGTGGAGGCGGAGTTCATTCAATGGCCCGTTTGTGTCGAGTCGCGATGGGAGCGAACTGGTCCCAGGATCACCCAGGACACGACCAGATCCCCTGACCAGACCGTTTCGGTGACCATTTCGGAGGGAGCGCCGAGTACGACTGCGATTCCTGCCCCTGACGGACAACCTGACCATGAACTTGACACCGAGTCCCCACTCGACAATTCAAACTTCCTCTCGTTCGAAGATTGGAAAAAGCAAAACCTGGCGAAGGTGGGCCAGTCGGCGGAGAATGTCCGCGGAAACAGACATACGGGTGGGAAAGAGGACCGACGGAGGCCGACGGGGATCAATAACGCGCTGGATTCGTTGGGAGAAGATGCTGAGATTGAGCTTGACTTTGGTGGTTTCGGTGCTGATGCGTCCGACGCGGCGAAGCCTACACCTTGGGGGTCAAGCATACCTACAGCCGGGATGCCTGGAGCCGGTGCGGGGGATGCGGAGGCCGCTGTGCCTGCCGATCTGCGGATGGCTGCCTCGCGTGGGAAGGACGCTGGCACGACTTGCAAAGAACGGTTCAACTACGCATCATTTGATTGTGCAGCAACCGTGCTCAAGACGAATCCTGAATGTAAAGGATCATCATCTGTCCTGGTCGAGAACAAGGACAGTTATATGCTCAATGAATGCCGCGCGAAGAACAAGTTCCTCATCCTCGAATTGTGCGACGACATTCTGGTTGATACTGTCGTTCTGGCCAACTACGAGTTCTTCAGCTCTATCTTTCATACCTTCCGTGTGAGCGTCGCTGATCGGTATCCGGCCAAGACTGACCAATGGAGGGAGTTGGGTGTCTACGAAGCGCGGAATACTCGCGAGATCCAAGCCTTTGCGGTTGAAAACCCGCTCATTTGGGCTCGATATGTAAAAGTTGAATTCCTGACACACTATGGCAATGAATTCTACTGTCCTCTCAGTTTGGTCAGAGTCCATGGAACGACCATGCTGGAAGAATATAAACACGACGGCGAGGCTAATCGTGGCGACGAGGAGGCCGCTGCAGAGGCGCTGGAGCCGAGTCCCCTCCCTGTCCAGCTTGACGTGAAGGACGTCGTACAGCAGCCTCCAACTACTGTGGCCGTGCTTAATGAATCTACCAATCAACCATCAGTTATCGTAGAGACGCAGGGAGCCTGTTCCCATCAGGGGATGGATGTTGTCAGACTTCTACAGCAGGGTGTTTCACCACCCGCGGATACATGCGATATACGTGCCGCACCAACTGGAGCCGGGAATGCTGCGGTCAACCAATCGACTGAGATCCGCCCGAAGGCGAATGGAGAAGCTACTCCAAGTGCAGAAGCTTCCGCACCTGCCTCTCGGGTTGACCACTCGGAGAAGGGGTCGGTGGGCGGCCAGAAAGTAACGGGGCCTACCGGTGCGAGTCTAGATTCGGCCTCCTCTACAATACTAGGTACAGAAACGGTGCGACAGGATGCGGTACATGAGTCCGAGATTAAGTCGGTCAGTTCCCCTAAGGAAGAGTCCAGCATACCCTCGGAATCAGTGCGGCCTTCGGGGACGCAGCCTCCATCCTCGAACCCTACCACCCAAGAGTCTTTCTTCAAGTCCGTCAATAAAAGGCTGCAGATGCTAGAGTCCAACTCGACTCTATCGCTGTTGTATATTGAAGAACAGTCTCGGATCCTACGGGATGCATTTAGCAAGGTTGAAAAACGCCAGCTGGCCAAAACATCCACGTTCTTGGAGAACTTGAACGTGACCGTTTTGAACGAGCTGAGGCAGTTCCGCGAACAATATGATCAGGTATGGAAGAGCGTTGCGCTGGAGTTCGAGCATCAGCGAATCCAGTACCATCAAGAGATCCACTCGATCAGTGCCCAGCTTGGGATTCTAGCCGATGAGTTGGTGTTTCAGAAGCGAGTGTCCGTGATACAGAGTATTATGATTCTCTTCTGCTTCGCTCTCGTCCTCTTTCCGCGCGTACCGGTGGGTACATACATTGATATCCCGCGTGTGCAGAATATGATGAATCGCTCCTATAGCCTGCGCTCGTCGTCGCCGATATTTTTTGGCTCTCCTTCGGCAAGCCCAAGTTCGACACGACCGACGTCGTCGTACCGGGCCACGGGGCGCCATCGGCGGAATCTGTCGGAAGACTCGCAGCATGAACCACTCAGTCCGACCATTGCCTATTCTCCCCCGACGCCCCCATCCGACCCGTCCAGCCCCGACGAAGCGGACAAAAGGCCGGCCCCTTCTCTGGATACCATCAACATGTCAGACCTGGCGCCGCCACACTTCCGGTCGCATAGCAGCCCACCGGTACTCAACCCTGCCGACGAGGAGAGCCAGAGTGACGAGAGCCCGATATCGTATGAATCACGAGGGTCGTCTGAGTATGATTCGCTAGGTTCTCCTGAGAGCAGCGAGCCGATTTTGGCGAGCAACGGCAATATGCGACAAGAAGGATGAACGTGCGCTGAGTACCCACCATGGCTATCCTTATCGGTGACATTCTACGTAACCCTACGTGTATCCGAGTCGCATCGTTTCCGACCGTCATTGTTTACCGACCCATGTCACTGACGTCACCCGGGGAGGGATTGATTTCACCCTTGTCTGATCAATTCATTCCTTGGCGGAACAGCTGGCCCGCCACCAGTGGGACGGTTGTCCAGGAGATATGGAAACCCTCTTCCTTTGAGGAATTTGCCTCTTGAAGTATGATTGTTTATCGGCATGGACAATGGTCGCTTGGAATGATGGGCACCCCGGAATAGAGGAGGAGAGAATTAATTTGCTTGTATTATAGGACAAGAAGGGTGTGTATGTTTATTTCTCAAGTGGAGGAGGAACTGTAACAAGTACGCAGCTTGTGAGATTAGAGGAACAAACCTAATGATCCTAATGAATAAACGAAGAAATGAATGGAGAACTTTATTCTTTCCAATTTCAAAGGGTAGTTGAAGATGATGTAAGTAAAATTCGGATGGTTGCCATGACAACAATCAACAACGCGGCTTTTTCTGCTTTTGCAGCCAATTTCTTCCGCTTCTTATCCACCTGCAAATCTCCAATTTCATCCCTCGCTGACACCATTCAAAACCCCGTGCAAGCAGAAAGAGAAGAAATCTCACCGACACATCCTCTCTATTTGTTTCCACGGACTTAAGAAAAAAGGGAATCACCTTTACTTCACATACTCACAATGGAATCTCCTTCGCATCCTCTCACTGATCGCTCCACCAACACTCATCTGGTCAACACCGAGAAGGCCAACGAGCTCAAGGCGGCCCCCGCCAAGATCGAATCAATGGAATACCACCGGCAAGTGCTCCAGGGCAAGCTGGAGAGCGGAGACAAGTGAGTTCACTGGATTGAATTGGACCTTTCCATCGGAATACCCGCGGTCGACTAACAGGCGGTCCAGGCAACAAGCCAGCTATGTATCGCCCTCGGATGATATTATGAGCCCCTGCTCCAAGAAATTGAGTGACTTGAAGGGCAAGCGATTCAAGAAGTACGTCTACTCTGGTCTTGCCTTTCATCCTTCCGTGATGGGGGTTTTATTACCTATGGTTTTTTCGTTGGGTTGATATGCTAACATGAATGACCTCCGCTGCAGTGCTGGCAAGCCCCAATCACTATTCGCCAAACTAGGCAAGAAGAACTTTGAGCAGTCTGCTGCAAACCATAACTCCACCAGTGAGGCCGAGATGCAGAAGTAATCGACGGTCCAGAATCCTTTACATCTCATGCGCCGGTCGCATGGATCTCTTGGATGAGACCTGGATAAGATCGTCGGTTGTTTCTCGCTTGGTTCGGTGTTTGCAGGACTGGTTCTTGACTTCTCTTCAACTTGATTTACTCTTTTTTTTTGGGGGCACTCGGGGTTTTTTGGGAATTAATGGCCTTGGGATGGCTTGGGACTACTGTGTCATTGTTACAGTCATAAATTGTTTTTAATTGCGTATGGGATTTGGACGGATGAAGACCAATGAAATGTGATGCGATGAGTAAGACGACCACCTAAATGATTGATGTGTAGACATCCTTCCATTGTAATATCATCGAGTATTTTCTGTGGTGCCAAGGTCCAAAGGGTACGTGAGCAGCAGCCAAGGTGATTGATTAGATATTCGGTTCTGAGCCGAGGTCCAACCGCCAAAGTTCGGCATCTTCTCCGCTCCACAGCTTCTCCGCAGTTTCACCAACTGCTCGTATGATTGATGCTTCTCATGTCTTTATAATCTCTCCCTCCACTGGCTTCTTTGCTCTGCATAATCCTAATTCCCTTTAATCCTCTGAAACTTGATTTACTAGTAAAATAACACAGCATCATGTCTGCCTCCACACGGATTCCCACAATTGCCCTACCGTTCGTCAGCGACCGGGCCAAGAAGACCCTGGACCAGGTATATACCCTCTTCATCCTCGTTTCTCATGCCGAGACTAATCTCCACAATCCACCCCCATGATAGGTCGAACAATTTGTCGAAAAAGAATGTATTCCCGCCGAAAAGCTCTTCCAAGCCCAGCTGGGCGAAGGCGATCAGCGATGGGCCACCTACCCAGCCGTCATGGAAACCCTCAAGACTAAGGCCCGCCAGCAAGGCCTGTGGAACATGTTCCTGCCCAAGAACCACTACACTCAGGGTGCGGGATTCACCAATCTCGAATACGGTCTGATGGCCGAGTATCTGGGAAAGAGCAAGTTGGCTTCGGAGGTATAGATCCCCTAACAACCCCCCCACCTCCTCCTGCTCTACCGAGGAATTATCTGGGACAAGGTGCTGATGGGAGACGATTACTACAATAGGCCACGAATAACGCCGCGCCAGACACTGGAAACATGGAAGTCATCGCCAAATACGGCAGCGAAGCACAGAAGCAGCAGTGGCTGGCGCCCTTGCTGGACGGCAAGATCCGCTCGGCCTTCCTCATGACAGAGCCCGAGGTAGCCTCCAGCGATGCGACGAACATCCAGTTGAACATCCGCCGTGAAGGCAACCAATCCGTCCTCAATGGATCGGTTCGTTTCCCCTCACCTATGCCATCCACCCACAACAACTCGAATCACTAACAAGAAACGCGTCTCTAGAAATGGTGGTCCTCCGGCGCAGGCGACCCCCGCTGCAGTGTCTATCTGGTAATGGGCAAATCCGACCCAACCAACAAGGACCCCTACCGCCAACAATCCGTCATCCTCGTGCCCGCCGACACCCCCGGAATCACCGTGCACCGCATGCTTTCCGTGTATGGGTACGACGACGCCCCCCATGGCCACGGCCACATTAGCTTCAAGGACGTGCGCGTCCCCGTCTCCAACATCGTCCTCGGCGAAGGCCGCGGCTTCGAAATCATCCAGGGCCGTCTGGGTCCCGGCCGGATCCACCACGCGATGCGCACGATCGGCGCCGCCGAGAAGGCGATCGAGTGGCTCATCGCGCGGATCAACGATGAGCGTAAGCAGACCTTCGGCAAGAGCCTGTCCTCACATGGTGTCATCCTTGAGTGGCTGGCGAAGTCCCGGATTGAGGTCGACGCCGCTAGACTGATTGTCCTCAATGCTGCGATCAAGATCGATCAGGGTGATGCCAAGTCTGCCCTGAAGGAGATTGCTCAGGCCAAGGTTCTGGTGCCGCAGACCGCATTGACGGTCATTGACCGTGCCGTGCAGGCGTATGGTGCCGCTGGTGTGTGCCAGGACACCCCGTTGGCCAATCTGTGGGCCATGATTCGGACGTTGCGGATTGCGGACGGTCCGGATGAGGTGCACTTGCAGCAGCTCGGCAAGAGGGAGAACCGGGCTCGCAAGGATGCGGTGATTGAGAAGTTGGATTGGCAGCGGGCCGAGGCGGAGCGCTTGTTGGCTGCTAGTGGGCTTAAACTGAAGAGTCATTTGTAAATGAGATGATTGAAATACGGTAGTGTCAGGGTAACAATCTGTCTGTCTACAGCGAAATCTTTGGAGAGGGAGGACAACATCACTCCTCTCCGTACGGAATGAATAAATTATATATCTGGAAGATTATCACGGTGAAATTGATTTCATTCAATATGAACTGTCATGATTCATGAACATCAACGTCAACATCAACACCAACCCTACATACATAAAGCAAACCGAGAATCATAAGAAACTTTTCTAAATGCAACCAAACAAAGTAGAACCCAACCAAACTCATTCATTAACCACAGGCAAACATGAACCCCACTCGCCCGCGAGTCAGATCAGAAATGGATCAGTAATCATCGTCCGCAGTCACGGCGCGCTTCTTCTTCGCCTGCTTCTTGTTGCCCTTGAAATGCTTCTTAGAGCTGCCGCCCCGCACTTCGGTCACATCGATGCCGCGTTCCAGGGCGACCATCAGGCGCTCCTTACGGCCGGTCAGCTGTTGGCGCATCTGCTGGCCTTGTTCGGTGTACTGGGCGTTGAAGGGGAGGGTGAGACGGCCGGCGGAGCCTTTCGAGGCGTCGCCGAAGAAGCCGGTGTCGAGATTGCGGGAGCGGGAGCCTTGCACGGGTTGTTTGGGCAGAGAGAGAATGTCATCGTCGATGTCCTCGGCCATTTGCTCTGCCTGCATGGCTTTGGCGAGCTGTTCTTGCCGCCTGGCGGGCAGGTGAGCCATGTCGTAGAGTTCGACGTTGAACTCATTGGGGTCAATGGGGGTCTGGCCCTCTGGCACTGGGGGCGGGTGACAGAAGAGAAGTTTGCCATTGACGTAGTCCTTCAGGACGTATCGGGCGGCGCGGGATTCATCGGGCTGGCCCAGGCCTTGAGTGGAAAAGCCACGCGCGCGAGCATAGGCGCGCAGCAGCTCGCTGCCGGTGGGGATGCCCGTGCCGCCTTCTTCGATGGGGCGGGTATGGATGGTGACTCCGTAGACGTTCTCAAGGAAATGCTTGGGGACGCGCTGGGCGATGATGGTGGCCGGGCCGGTGAATTCACGCTGTTGGTCGATGGGCAGGACACCGTTGACAACCAGGTCGGCCTTGGTTGTGGCGAAGTTGGGGAACACCAGACCAGGGCAATCGCAGAGCATGATCTCCGGCGAGAGATAGAGGGTCTGGAAATGCTTCGTCTTACCGGGCGTAGCGGACACTGAGACCTTCTTGGCTCCGAGAAGGGCGTTGATGGTACTGGATTTACCGACGTTGGGGTAACCGACAAGACCAATGACTGTCTTTTGCTTGCGCGGGTTCTCTGGGTCGTCGTTTTCGGGGAGAGTATCGGGGGTGTTGGAAAGGAAGAGTTCTTCGAGTTCATCAACATCGAGAATTTCCGTCCTCCGGGATCTGCTCGAGCCAGGAAGCTTCAATCCTCCATCATGCTCCTCAGTCGGCTGTTCTTCGATGGTTGTCTCCGCCAGCTTCTCCGCGACCTCTTCATCCTCACTGTCGCCCTGCTCTGCCAGCTGTGCGTCGATTTTCTCCTTCGCTAGCTGGGCAGAAAAGAATCGGAAGCTGATGTTATTGCGCTCAAAGTAGTCTGCCCAGGCCTCTCGTTGCTTCTCAGTAAGCATATCTGCCTTGTTGACGAGGAGAAGGTTCTCTTTCTTGGGATCAATCTCCTTCACGTAGGACTCAAGATCCTCCGACCGGAAATGTAACGGGTTCCGAGCATCGACAATCTGCACGACGAGGTCCGACCGTTCAATGACACGCCAAAGCTGTCGCCAGACTTCCAAGTTCCGCTCAAATGGTGTCATCAATAGATCGTGATTCTCCTGGAGCTCAGCCAACCCTCTGCGCCAGGACAAGAAACTCTCCCTCTCCATCACATCGAGTTGTTGCCGCGTCGTCGTCGAATCCCATTTCGGTCGTCTCGGAACGGTCAGTCGTCCTCTGTTCTTCTGGTGCTTCTTCACAGCCGACTTTTCCTCGGATGCGGAGAGGAGATAAGGGTTTTTCTGATCGGCATGGATAATCTTGACATTGTTCATCTTCTCGGCTGTAAAATCGGTGCCTGCCAGTTCAGCGGTGCTCAGGAACTCGTCGAGAGCGGCTTGTTCCGTGATACTGCGCATCTTCACCCAGGCGGCATCCTCCTTCGCATTGGTGATGTAGGTCTCTCCGTTCATATCCTTCCGTGCGACGGCTTGATTGTGCGAGGCTTTCTTCATGTTCGATGCCTTTCCCTTTCCGAAACGATCCTTCATGAGGCTGTTGCCCAGCCCCACGGAGTTTTTGGACTTTGCGAGAACCATGGTGACTGTGTGGAGAAGCGACTCGACTTACAGTACACCAAAATTGAAATGAAACCTTCCGATGGGGGAGTGGAAGGGAGAAGGAGGAAGAATGGAGGGGGAAATGGAGGGGAAATGTGAAGAAGAGGCAAAGGGACGGAGAGAATTATTAATTTTGTTCCATTTGGCGATGATCGATCGCCCAATCAGGCAAGCCCCCGCCGATAAGATAAGAATTTGGCTGACTCAGCACCTTCTTTTTTCCCCCTGTTGCTGAAAACAAAAGATGTTAACCCAGTAATTCTATACCGAGTAATTCATACTGAGAGTCGGTCGTCAGTACTAACACTTTACCCATGGATTCCCATGGTGTGATATCCTCTCCACCCCGCAGCACATCTTCCACGTCGCTGCCTGAGGACGACCAGTTGGGCATCCCGATAAGCCCTCACGTGACGCTATCACATCCCACTTTGACAATTTTTTTGCTCCCAAGGTCCATACAATATTAACCCACTCAGGCTGAAAATCTTCATTCCAGCTGTTCACACCGATCGCAGTCGCCAAAATGCCTCCCCGCAAGCAGTGGATGTATGTGGAATTTCGCACAGGGTCGATTTATTGTCTGGTGGCTAACAGAATGCAAATAGCGATAAAAAGAATGCAACCACATACCAACTCTTCCACCGAGCCCAAAATGACCCCCTGATCCACGACGCCTCAGCCGATGACCGTGTTCTTGCCCCGGTGTCAGGCCCCGCAGCCGGTAGCTCTACCATCGAAGCCCGTGGCAAGAACCTGTCGGATTTAGCCAGTGAATTTGGCGCGGAGCCCGTCCGGAGAAACGAAGGTGAAGCAGCGAACTACGGTATCTTCTACGACGACTCGAAATATGATTACATGCAACATTTGCGCGAGCTGGGCACCGGCGGCGGCGATTCGTATTTTGTGGAGGCCAAGAGCAAGGACAAGGGCAAGGCTAAGGGAATGAAGCTGGAAGATGCTCTGCGACAAGTCACTTTGGACGATGCGAGAAGCGAGTATGGCCCAGGGAGCGTCTACGGATCTGATATGCGTTCGACTGCCTCGTCGTATGTCCGGCAGCCGACCTACCAGGATCAGCAGAATGTGCCCGATGCGATTGCGGGATTCCAGCCTGATATGGACCCCCGTCTGCGGGAAGTATTGGAGGCTCTTGAGGATGAGGAATTTGTCGACGAAAATGACGAGGAAGATGTGTTCGGCAAATTAACCACTCAGGCGGAGGAGATGGACCAGGGTGATTGGGAGGATACGTTGTTTGACGAGGGAGACGATGATGGATGGGAGTCTGATGCCACTGAGAAGGCCCCCGTGCAGCCCAGCACAACCGACTACAAACCACCGCAGAGGGGCGATATCGCCCAGAATACATCCCAGGACTCTGAGCCAGGTGAATTGCCCGATCACGATGCGCCGGCTCCGGATATGCACCCCGAGGACCAGGGTTGGATGCGCGAGTTCGCTAGGTTCAAGAAGGACGGTAAAGTGAAGGCAGCGCCGGCAGCACCGCCCAGTATTGTACCCTCGGAGCAACGAAGCACTCTTGCCTCCACTGTCTTCACAGTAGGTGGTACCCCCATCCGCAGAAAGAAGCGTAAGGGTGCGCTCACGAACCCTTCGGCATACTCTATGACCTCTTCCGCTCTGGCTCGGACGGAAGGGCACCGGCTGTTGGATGACCGATTTGACCGGGTGGAGGCACTCTACGCTCTGGACGAGGAAGATGAGTACGATGATAGCATGTCCATGGTCAGTGGTATGACTGGTATGACCGGCATGACCAGCTTCTCGACCGCCTCATCGCAGGCCCCCAGTCTGATCGACGCGAACGGAACAGCTGTGGCTCCCCGCCATGATTTCAACAACGTTATGGATGACTTCCTTGCCGGCTGGGACGGCAACACAAGCTCGCAAGTGAAGCGCAAGGGTGCCAAGGCAAAGAGAGGCAAGAACGGTAACGAAGCAATTGGAATCAGAATGTTGGACGAGATCCGACAAGGATTGGGTCCCGCCAAGATGCCAGGAAAAGCCTCTGGACGAGCGTAATGCTTCAACGAATTGTGATGATACCTTTCGATTTCTTTAGAATATGGTTTCTGGCGTCCCGGTTTCAATGCCCTTATGTTGCATGATAGATGTCCATTTTCTCGGCTAGTTAAAAAGTTCTCCAACTACCACATAGTACATACTTGGCTTACTTGGTAGGAAGCAATTAACCTTTAGACACATCTTTCTTGGTTTATCACTTCGTGTTCACAAGCGGAAACATAGAACTCAACCGTTGCAGTGGGTGAACGCACTGGATCCTGCTATTTTCACGCTCAATTTGGTGGCCCTCTTTGTGCTTATGTCTCCTATGGCTATGGTTGCCCCTAAGTCCTTCGGCACCTATATCCGGAATTCTATTTCGATCAACGAATCCACTTCGTTTTCGCGGGTCGAGCTGGATGGATCAATGTCCCTTTCAGACACGCTAAGAATTGTTGACAGCCTCTTCCGGATGCCGCTTAAAACAACATCCACTGTTTCGGCTTCGGTGCGCGCGGCTGACAACAAGGCTTGGACGTCGTACTGATTCGTCTCGGAGCCTTGCACCTCCTCTCATTAGAAATGGCATCTCGTCAGTGCGTGAGCATCAGGATCAAGAAATGCCTTGGAGCCAGGATGCCTGGTTTCGCGTAATCTGACTGGGTGGACAGGCATACTAGCAGCCTGTTCGAAGTCGAATTCGTCCGGAATTTGACATAGCCAGGTTTACATTGGCTCTGCCCAATGTCCGGAACGTTCCAATGTAGCGGGGGTCGCCAAAGTATGCAACCTGGTCTTCTATATGAACATGACACTTGTACTGGAGCGATTCAGTCGAGATCCGCTTAGGCGCCTCCGGATCACACAGGAGAAGAGAAGAAGCTTAGGGGTTTCTGTGGACATCCGATGTTTCAGCACCGATGGCCCGTGAATTTATCAACTGAGTGACCTCCTCGATGGTAGGCATAGCTGGCCGCGTGTTATGGTTCCCAACTAGGGCCCGACTCTAGAGAAAATGGTATGCGTCGTCCAGAATACAGTGAGCGTTGGTCCCGTTCAACCCGAAGCAATTAAACAGATACATGTCGAGGACCAGCTGCATATAGTGGAGTTAACGTAGTAGCTGCCATGCTTCTCCTTCCAGACAGGATAGCTTTCATAGGCGGGGTTTTGTACATATGTATGTGGTAGACTACTCTGACAAGACGAATCAACGGTATATTACACATTGCTTTTTCTTCTCTTTCTGCGACATACAGGATTTGGTCAGCAAGCCAGACCAATTGGATACTGGCTAGTTGGCAGTGCAGATACCTTGCACCGGGAGCTAATGTGCGAAACTGTTAATATACTGCCAAGTCACAGAGGGATGAGTTCGACCGTTTCTTGCATGATTAAGTTGCTTCAACATCCTGCTTTAGCTTAATATAAACCTGACCGCAGCTGCGGGGAGAATAGGTGGTATGTATGATGGTTGTGAACATGAGATACCAACTAGCGCTACGCAACAAGGTACGGTTTATTGGGCCTCAATCTAGTGAACGGAACTGCACCCTTGTCGAATGTTTCTTAGCTTGCCAAAAGTTCTCCTCCACCTTAGGATAACGCTACTATATGACTAGACCAATCAAATCTGTGTATAACATTCTGTAGCCCTACCTCACAGCACTCCTTATGGAATCTAACTTCCAGATACTTGATTATATCCCTGCACGGGCCACGTAAAGAAACGTAGTTGCGTTCTTTTGTAAACATCGATATCTCAAATTATATTTAGGTATTATTCTGTGCTCCTCCGGGCAGCCTTTAATCATCAATAGAGGGCACCAGAGTGGTAGTGTGTCACACTAAACAGAGGAGGTTTCTATCTCAAGTAGATCTAGTGTTACAACTCGAGAAGCGTCCGTTTTTCTTCTTCTGTTATTTCCTACGGAATGATATTGTTTTGTATCTGACTCATCAGGTGTATATGGTCGTTGGATATGATGATAGGCTTCGCTCTGTTCGAAAAGGCTTAAACTAGCTATGCTTAATTAGAGAGAAAAGCATATGTAGCTGAAGCTGTTATTTATAACCAGATGTACTAACATGCTGTGAAACTGTCAGCAGCACAACTAAGACTCTCGAGAAAGATGCATATGAGCTTCCCCACGATTGATATTGTATGAGTCGTACTTCGTATAACGTGTCAAGTGAGTGAAATCCTTTACCCTAAAGTGAAACCGACGGTATACTCTATGCCAATGTTAAGCACAACGCTCTTGATCTTGACGATAGATCATATACCAATCGCAGATGGCCCTTAAATACAATGGTAACTGCATAATTAGGAACATAAGGATAATTACCACAAGGCAATCTAAAGAGTGACCTTTCAATCACAAGCACTTCGCTTTTACTACACTTTACCAGAGATACAAAACTCTAGATCACTACCTTGACACCCAATATCTAACAAGAGGTTAATCTAGTTCGCTTAACGATATATCACACAGTTCGTATCTGACTCACCCTGACTCAGTCTTAATGAACACATCTTTACTTAGTATATCCTTAAGGCGAATTGACACTTCCAACATAGAATCGATAAGACAATACCTCCCTCAGCGAGTTCCCCAGACAACATCTCATACTCAGGTATTGTTTATATCAGTTTCACATATGTGCAGGTACGATCTTTGTTTGAGTTTGGACCTTTGATACATCAATGTAACAGAAATGATGATGTCCATTCACTCGTCGAAATGATTCTACTGCAAGGCTCAAGTACAGTAGTCTCGAAAAATACCATATAGTTCACTTCTGTGAAACAAAAGAAGAGTGTATTCTCATGGTAAGATAGTGCTATAGCCTCGGCTGGTGAATTGACCCCAAAGATCCATGAGGAGAAATAGCGGGGGTGATGCCGGGTGGGTCACGAAGTGAGGAAATCCGTCCTATCGCCATGAATGCCAGAAACGATTGGAACACGACATGATTGGTGTGAACAAGCGAAGCATTGCCGAGTGGTGTTCATCGCATCGTCCAAGTGGAGACGAAGGATGACTGGCAAAATATATAAGATACTACCTGACGACACTCCTCGTGTGGATTAAATCAAGCAATTGACCTGGCCCACCTGCGATTGCTACTCGGATTTAGACAGACACAATGCATGTTCAAGAATATCAGTATCGCTTAATTGATAGCGTTCAGAAAGCTCTTGAGAAATATGATTCCGAATTGAAGAATATCAATCATCAAGTAAGTAGATTCGATTCTCTACTAATCTCTCTATCTATCTGTGCCCATATCTCTAACGCCACCTAGATCTGGTCGAACCCCGAGCTAGGCTATGAAGAATACAAAGCCCATGACCATATCTGCTCACTCTTCGAAAGTCTCAAATCAGAAGGCTACCAAGTCCGCCGTAGCGCACATGGGCTCGAAACAGCCCTAGAAATCGAATTCAAGCACGGCACGGGAGGCCGCGTAGTCGCCTTCAACGCGGAATACGACGCACTCCCCGGGATCGGACACGCATGTGGCCACAATCTAATCGCGACGAGCTCAATCGCCGCCTTCATCGCGACCTGCGAGGCCTTGAAAGCCCGGTACCCAGATGGACCCGGGTACACCGTCCGGCTGCTGGGCACGCCGGCGGAAGAATCCGGCGGTGGAAAGGTGCGCTTGTTAGACAACGGAGCGTATAAGGATGTGGATGCTTGTCTTATGGTGCATCCTATGCCGATGGCGCCTGATGATCCGGAACTGTTGAGTGTGGCGACTGTGTTGCCGGGGGGATTTCTTGCGAACGATAAGGTCACGGTGACTTTTACGGGGAAGCCGGCGCATGCGGCTGCTGCGCCGTGGGAGGGCGTTAATGCGCTTGATGCTGTGGTGGCTGCCTATGTGAATATTTCTCTGCTGCGACAGCAGATTCTGCCAAGCCAGAGGATTCATGGGGTTATTGCGCACGGTGGAGATCGTCCGAATGTGATTCCCATGTCGGCATCTGTGGACTATTATATCCGGTCACCCAGTCTCAAGACATTGAAGCCGTTGACTGAAAAAGTGATCAAGTGCTTCGAAGCGGCAGCGACTGCCACCGGGTGTCAAGTTGAGTTTGACTGGTATGTTATTCACTTCGTGGCAAGACTCCCGGCCACAACACTAACGGTAACCAAGGGGCATCTCGTACGCTGATTTAAAGACCAATACGCCCATCTGCGAGAATTACGTTACCGCCATGCGCGCAATGGGACACCATACAGTGTTTGATAACTCAGGCAAGAAGGGGGTCTTGGGTGGTGCTTCGACGGATATGGGTTCGTATTGACAATGGCTATGAGTCCGCTCCAGAGATCAGTACTGACATTAGCTTGCAGGGAACGTCACCTATGCCGTACCCGGCTTTCATGGAATGTTCACCATCCCCGCTGAGGGAGTGAATCATACGCCGCAGTTTACTAACGGTGCTGGATCACCGGAGGGATATAAGCGTAGTCTTGCCTGTGCTGCTGGCATGGCTGTTGTTGGATGTCAAATCTTGGTGGATGATAAAGTGGCGGAGCAAGTGAAGAAGGACTTTGAAAGGGACGAATAAGTTCTGATGTAGAAGATGAAGAGTCATATGATGTGAGAAATTCTACCAACTGAAGGCCCTGCAGAACCATGTACAACATAGTCACCATATTCACATCATTTCGAGGAAAGAAGAGCGGTATAAGCCTGGAGAAGACATCTTCAGATATACCCAACTCAGCTTCAAGATATTACAGTCTATTCAAACCATAATATATGGACCAGAGTCCAGTATTGAGACAGGCGACACAGAAACACAATCAGAGTAAGAGACAGTGTTAACTAGCGGAGTCCAATAGACCCTCACAGACCCTCACAGACCCTCACAAACCCTCACAAACCATAGCCGCACTACAATCCTTCCCTCCACCCTGAACCGTAGACCCAACCTCACAACATGGTCATATCTGCACTAGACCGCCGAAACCGAAGCGGTGAATCTAAATCCAACAACAACAACAACAACAACAACAACAACAACAACCACCACCTCCTACCCCCTAAACAAAATCAAAAACCCCTCAAGTATAATGCAGTGCAGAACTCCCCAGCCACAAAACTGGACGCTATTCTCTGGGTAGTACCAACCGCCCAGAACTGGTAAGAGAGCAGTCTACATCCAGATCACAAAATGCTGTACTACCACGTCGTGCCAATACTTGGGCACCACGAACCCAACGCAATCGTTCCTGCCATGCAGGCGGGATCCACTAACAACAAAATATTCTCCGATGACAGGTCTGATGGGTAGGTCTGGATTCTTTCTTCTGTTATTATGTTGATTGGATTGTAGATTCTGGTTTCCGGCTTCTTCCGGCCTAAGTTCTATCTATCGTGTAGAATTAGAAAAGAGATGAATCCACGAGGTCTACAAGGTCTAACCTATGTAGATGAATATCCGTCTACCACTGAAACCACGTCGTCCAGTTCACGATCACTAAGATCTGCAAACACGGTATCCCCGGGAGTTCATCCCATCCAGCTAACGATATCAGAAATGATCTCTCCTCCACGTCCACCCCGGACTCGCTGGAAGTAAAGCAAGGAAGCAAGCAAGCAAGCGCGATCCGACCGATCCGACTCGTAAGAGATAAGATCCACCCAGATATTAAAGAAGAAAGTCTTATGAAAAACAAGGAATAATCATATTTAGTACATCCGCCCTATCCGTACCACTGACGAAGATGGGCATCCGGATGAGATGTACCAGGATGATACATTCATCCAACTGAGATCGAGACTGGTATAGCCAGAGTCACTCACACAGGAGAGAACTGGATCCAATCGAAGCACTTAATCCAAACCAGACATGCCCTTCTCTTCGTATAGCCGGGAATATCCGGATTAAGCCTCTAGGTACTAACTAGTCCATAGATTGACAAACACAGACACAAGTACTACATACATACCCGAAGCACACCAACCAACTTACCGGCACCATCTCACACGACCACTTCGAACATGCATCATCTTCTTCTCAGCCCCAGAAACGAACATTCCAGAATTCTTCCAGAAACAACCCCCGAAACCCCAAGGACTTGGCGAGGGGCCAAGCACCCCCTCATCTGGAACATGGGGGCCATGTATCTTAGGCTCATTAGTTCCAGGAGGAACACCCTGGTTCAATTATTATAGGATAAGGCTGGAGGGGAAACAGAGGTAAGATGGGGGTTGAGCGCCACACGCGACTCGTATACGGAATCAGTTAGTTCACTTTATTCAATTCTATTATTCATTGTTTTTTTATTCTAATTGAATTTAAATTTTTTTTTTTTTTTTTTTTTTTTTTTTTTTTTTTTTTTTTTTTTTTTTTTTTTTTTTACGCTGGGTTGGATTTAGGGCCGTGTAAGGCCGTTTAGGGCCCTATGTAGGGCAATCAATGATTTTCATTCGGGTTTCTTGCCTTTTTCATCTTGATCGGTCGATGATCTTACTACTATCGTAAGAAAGATATACTAATTAAAATAATGTCTATATTAAAATGATCGAAAATATGGTACATTTCTCACCAGAAAGGTTATAACCCCCAACCTCACCAAATTCATACCATGATACCATCCCCCAAACCCTAACTAACACCCATTATAAACTCCCTAATCCCATATAAAGCTTGAAGAACACGAGGAATTTCAATCAATCCAATCCCGGAGTTAAACCTCCGCGAAGCAATCTCATTACTTTAACTTTTTTGACTTTCCGATCCATGGGTCTAGGCTCACCTTTTGAGTTTAGGGTCAGTAGGGAAGGTTTACTATGGACATGGTTCTTCTGGCATGAAGGTGGGTGTACAAGTATGTATGTTTCTGATTCTGGGTCTGGGGGAATTGCTTTATGTCCTTGTGACCAGGGATGCTATCTAGGTATGTATCTATGTGGGTACATACCTGTTAAATTTATGAGCTGGTCATTGCGTTTAGGATTTCTTTGGTGGGAAATCTTGGAAGAGGCAAGTATGTATGTATGTATGTTATCATCACTTTCTTCTTTTCTTTTATTAAAAAAAAAAGAAAGAAAGTAAAGTTAAATAGGAAGAACAATAATAATTGGCCAATCTGTCAAGCATAACAATCCAGAGTTATACATCATTTACATCACTGGAACCAACACATACATACATGGAAAAAAAAAAAAAAAAGAAAAAAGAAACCGGGAAGATTACACCCCTCCCCGATGAGGTCAGAAGAAAAGAAACTGATAGGAAAAGATAGATCAGATCCGGATCGAAACAAAAAAACGGAAAAAGCACCAAGACCCGAATTAAGGCGCCAAGCAAAGCCATGGAACCAGCCATGTCGCAATCCATCCATCCTGGATGATCAGCAAGTGAGTAAGAGAGAGAGAGAGAGAGAGAGAGAGAGAGAGCCCGAAGGGAAATGAGAGAAGAAAAAAAGTTTTTACCCGGGGTCAGTGGTGGGGGAGTACACGGTCTGACAGATGGGGCACTTGTACTGGCCATACGTGAACCATGACGCAAGACAGGAAGCGTGGAAAGCGTGATTACATTGATTCAGAACGAGGACACTGCGGTCGTTGTCGCGGTAGCGGTAGCGCATCCGATCTGATTCGAGCACGGAGGGAGGAGGGTCAGCATCAGGGGTAAGCGTGTCATGACTGTGGAGAGCGATGGTTGAGCGAGAATGAGGGCGAATGCAGGCGGGTTCTGGAGAAGACGGTAGCGTGTCTTGCGAAGACGACGGTGCTACAAGAGTCGAAAGGCAGATGGAACTGGACGAAAACACCAAAGCAAATCAGAGAGCGTGAACAGAAACGAAACGGGTCCCGATGATAACGGCCAAGCCCACTAGTGCCAGCCCTGTCCCCGCATCTCCAGGGCCAAGAGTCCCGGCGTGCTTCCAACAATGGGATGTGCAACCCTACCAGGTTTCTTGAGCGTAGTGCCGCAGCTGTTGTTGTTGTTGCTGCTGCTGCTGCTGCTGCTGTTCCCCATTTTCTGATCGGGTCAACTCTTCCAGCCATCGCTCCACCGATACCTGTCGCATACACCCATTGACCTGAAGGAGGTGCACTTCACTGGCTCTTCGCGCCGCCGCTCGTCGACGGTGACGCCACATAATCAGACTGTCCTGGGTTGTCAACCATTTGCTGGTGCTTGGCAGAGAAACGACAATATCTATCTCTGGGTAGATGTGAAGAAGTAGAGGATGCGACGAGACCCAACGGTCAACATTGGTAGATGACCAGTCCCAATCGAAATGCATGGAAGATTCTCTCCTGCAGCGGGGATCACGAACTCAACGAATGAACTCACATAGGAACCAAGCTAATGGCGCCAAAGAGTAGCACCGCTCCGACCACGACGCCGGCGATTTCAGAGCCGGGCGGATCATCCGCCATAGCACGGGCGACACGACGGTGATGATGTCTCGTGTCAATACGAGAACGACTTGAAGAGGAGCAACTAACTGGTGACAGATCCAATAAGATGTATCAGACGCAGAGAATCGGATAGGTCGGCTCAATCAGCGGCGTCGGGATTCGCATAGGGCCGGTCAGGACAACGATAAGAGCAGAGTGTGTGGGGGGGTAAGAGGTAGGAGGGGGGGACCAGTAACCAGTCAGAGAGAAAGACGAAGAATTATTTTTGGCCGATTCGAAAGAGCGATGGGACAGCATTTCAAGCGGCGACTGGCTCTCAGACCCCCTCCATTTGCGTCTGGCCAAGACTGACCAAGCGTGCAGAGAAGCCGAGGCGGGAAATAATCCAAGAGGTGCCAAGTCTCCCGCGCCCCGGAACACTCTTGGCATTCCGCTGGGTCGACGAGGGTCTGGCCAGTCATTTGCCTCTGCCCAGCTTGAAGCGAGTCTCACGTGGCGACGACATTGGTCGAATGCGTCATCATCCAACCATCGTTTGCCTCCAAACCCAAGATTATTCGCCAAGACTCTCCTGCTCCTTGGGCCCTTATTGGCTCTTGGCTCTTCCGTCGTCAATTCACGATAATCAAGCGAATCCATGCCAAGAAGTGAACCTTTGTTCGCGTCATGATCCAAGAGCAACATATAAACCCTACAATTCCCCCGCCTCCTCCCGGATGGAAAAGAAAGAAAAAGGTGAAATCTCCTCTCTCAATTCCTCCCCGCTCCATAACTACCCCGATCTAAGGTGTATTCTCTGCCTGGTGTAGGTGTGTATGGACTCACATTGCTTGGAGGATACAATCTATATGGAGCCGCCCTAAGGACAAGTCCCACTATTAGATGCTATCATATCATACAACCCTTTCTTAAACCCATTGACACAAAGACACAACTACACATAGACACACAACAACATGACCAAGGACGAGAAGAAGCAGACTGATACGGCTCAGCCGTTATCGCAACCCGCCCATGCCCTCTCCTACAATGCCGTCCTCCAAGAGCTCAAAGTGAACGCGGAGGAAGGCCTTACGACGGCGGACGCCAAGAACCGTCTTAGTCAGTATGGCCCCAATGAGCTGGAGGGCGGCGAAGGGGTCTCTCTTGTGAAGATTATCATTCGACAAATTGCCAATGCAATGATGCTGGTATGTGGATGTCCCTATGCACACGGGCTTTGGAACAGTGGACTAATCCGGCACGACAATTATAGGTTCTCATCATTGCGATGGCGGTTAGTTTCGGTATTGAATCGTGGATCGAGGGTGGTGTTATTGGTGCCGTCATTTTGCTCAACATCGTGGTGGGTGTTTACCAGGACTATGCAGCGGAAAAGACCATGGATTCCCTGCGCTCCTTGAGTTCCCCAACCGGCGTGGCCACTCGCGACGGCAAGACCAGTACCATTCCGGCCACCGAGATCGTTCCCGGCGATATGATCGAGCTTAAAGTGGGTGACACAGTCCCCGCGGACCTTAGGTATGTACCTAGCGAGAACGGCTCGTCCGACAAATTAACTCAGCTAATCTGGTCCATAGGCTCGTTGATGCCATGAATTTCGAAACCGACGAAGCGCTGTTGACCGGTGAATCCCTGCCAGTACAAAAGGAGGTTGACTCCGTGTTCGACGCCGATACGGGACCGGGTGATCGCCTGAATATTGCTTATAGTTCATCGACCGTGACCCGGGGCCGCGCCCGTGGTGTTGTCGTTGGGACCGGGATGAGGACGGAAATCGGTGCAATCGCCGCCGCCCTCCGTGCCGGGGATTCCAAGAGACGGCCCGTCAAGCGTGGTCCCCAGGGCGAGACCAAAAAGCGCTGGTATGTGGAAGCGTGGACCTTGACCTGCACCGATGCAGTCGGTCGCTTCTTGGGTATCAATGTCGGAACCCCTTTACAACGGAAGCTCTCCAAGTTGGCCTTACTACTCTTCGCAATTGCCGTGGTCTTCGCTATTGTGGTCATGGGTGCAAACGAGATGCGGAATGAGAAGGAAGTCATCATCTACGCAGTGGCAACTGGCCTGGCTATGATTCCTGCCTGCCTAGTGGTGGTCTTGACTATTACTATGGCGGTAGGCACCAAGCAGATGGTACAAAGAAATGTCATTGTCCGAAAGCTTGACTCCTTGGAAGCTCTCGGCGCTGTGACTAACATTTGCTCAGACAAAACCGGAACGCTTACTCAGGGTCGCATGGTTGCCAAAAGGGCTTGGCTCCCATCGCTGGGTACATACTCTGTGGGATCCTCTAGTGATCCCTTGAACCCCCAGGAAGGGGACTTGAGCCTGCTACCTCAACCCCCGGTTGAGCTCCAACGTGATGCACAAGGAGAGCCTCGGGACCCTCAAGATCTACTGAAGGAGAACCAGGTGCTGGAAGACTATCTCAATGTCGCGGCAATGGCCAACCTTGCCCATGTCCACAAGTCGGAGAATGATGAATGGCAAGCACGCGGTGAACCCACGGATATCGCCATCCAGGTGTTCGCGTCACGTTTCAACTGGGGCCGCGACCGTTGGACCAAGGGCGAAAAGCCGATTTGGGCCCAGAAAGCCGAATATCCTTTCGATTCGACCGTGAAGAAAATGTCGGTGATTTTCGCCCAAGGTGACCGCGAAATGGTTTTCACCAAAGGCGCCGTCGAACGTGTGGTGGATTCCTGCACATCAGTCATCTGGACCGCTGGTTCTAGCCCCGTTCCCCTGGAGGGAAGCATGAAAGAAGAGATCCTGCAGAACATGGAAGCTCTGGCCAAGGAAGGCCTTCGAGTGCTTTGCCTCGCTTGCCGGGAGAAAACGACTCCCACCAACGGAGAGGAAGTCCCCCCAAGAGAGGAAATTGAGAAAGACCTCACTTTCTGCGGTCTCATTGGTCTCTATGACCCCCCTCGTCCCGAAACTGCCGGTGCCATCGAAGAATGTTACCGCGCGGGAATTTCTGTGCACATGGTGACAGGTGACCACCCCGGTACCGCACGTGCTATCGCAGCGCAGGTCGGCATCATTCCTGCAAACATGGACAGCATCGCAAAGGATGTGGCGGATGCCATGGTTATGACGGCCAGCCAGTTCGATAAATTGACCGAGGACGAGATTGATGATCTCCCTACTCTACCGCTAGTTATTGCTCGCTGCGCGCCTCACACAAAGGTCCGCATGATTGACGCCTTGCATCGTCGTGGCCGGTACGCGGCAATGACGGGTGACGGTGTCAACGACTCACCATCTCTCAAGCGGGCGGATGTTGGTATTGCCATGGGACAGGCAGGTTCTGACGTAGCAAAGGATGCCTCGGAACTGGTTCTGATGGATGACAATTTCGCTTCTATCATCAACGGAATTGAAGAGGGCCGTCGAATTTTTGATAACATTCAGAAATTCGTCCTGCATTTGTTAGCCGAAAACGTTGGACTTGCGCTTACACTACTCATTGGTCTGGTATTCAAGGATGTCAACGGACAGTCCGTGTTTCCCATTGCACCCGTCGAAATTCTCTGGATCATTATGATCACCTCCGGTCTCCCTGATATGGGATTGGGAATGGAGATCGCAGCACCAGATATTATGAACCGCCCGCCCCAGAGTGTATGTACTTCCCCCCCTTTTTTTTTTTTTTTTT